TGGTAATTTTTACCTTCCTTACCTTGGAATCTCTAAGCCGAACAACCAATGTCCTCTTTAACTCTGACAATGGCATGTGTGCGAGGAAAAACCTCTTAGTTTTTCTCCAATTCCTCCAAAGCTGAACCTCCTTTTTTGCTTTTCTTATTTCTTCTTTCTCCTTTCTTCCTTTCTCTTTTTGTTTCCAAGCTGATTCTCTTTTTCTTTTCTCAAAGGTTTGATTTTTCCAAGCCTTTTCCTCACATTTCATTTCCTTATTTATTCCTTATCTCCCATTAGACCAATTCATCCCCCACTCAAATTTCATGCACCAATTTCCTTCCTTATTCATTAGCTCATAATCTATCCTCATTTAGCTTCTCCATTCGCCACCTTCAATATCCCATCATTTCTTCCTTTATTCTTTATTTCGTGGACCACCTTATTCGTCCAATCACATTTCATGCATCAATTTTATTTTGTATTTTATTCAGTCATTCATTAAGCCATTTAAGTCACATGCATCTCACATTTTTCCTTCCTCATTTGGCTACCTAATGCATCAATCTCATTACATGCAATGTGATTTATTTTTATTCTTCCTTTTTACTTCACATGGCGGGAGTCCTACATGTTCATCACTAACTTTCTCTTTTTTTGCATGCTATAATTTGCATGTAATAGTGAATTCACATGCACATCTCATTATTCTACATAATTTAACTTCCTTTGGTTAGTTATTTTCCATTTAACTTCAAATATTGAAATTACACATAAGTCCTCAAACTTTTTCTTGTTGACCGTTCGACGCTTCAATCTTTTTATCCTTTACAATTTGGTCCTTCCAACATTTCTTCAATTCCAATTTGCTTCTATTTTCCTTCCTTTACACTTGTACAAGTAAAATATAAAATTTGCATCTCATCAAGGTGTCATCATAATATTTAAATATATACTTACCCACTCTTGCTTTAGTTAATAAAGATACGCAGGCTCCACTAAGGTTATTTTTCTTCAAAATTCTTTCTTACTTCTACTGTCCCACTTAAACTAGTCATATAGTCCTCTTTCATGACTAATTTAAATAATAGATAAAATATTAATATTTTAATATTATTTTATTAATAAAATAATATTTTATTTTAAAATTTTGTTTTCACCTGTCACAGCTCTTTGACACTTAAATTTATGTCAATTGACCCTTCGTTTTATCAATAAGGTCTTATTGACTTACATACGAGGGTACGAGGTGTTACACATTGGATCTGGAATGATAAATAATAGTAAATACTCACTTTAGTTAACCTATCCAAAATCGAAAAAGGCAATCTAAAACAAGAAGTTTATTTACCTATTTACTCCATCAATGATGTTAAAAATCTACTACTTGACTTGTTATAATACATACTTATATGTCAAAATTCGAATAAAAATGATACTATTTTGTGAATATTTAATCCATTCACACTAAAGTATTTTGTGAGTTTTTTTTTTCTTTTGTCATGAGAATTTGATAATAATTAAAATTTAATTCCTAAGCATAAAGAGGACACATAATAACCATCAAGGTTTGAACTTGTGGAGTTGTAGTGAAGACATCTTAATCAAATATTGAGAACTAAATCAAAGCTATGCATTCGTTGGTAGGGAACTCACCATCTAATGTTTACTTCATATATAAATCACAATCAAGGACCTAAAACCATGAGAGCCAATCAGCCAAAAGCTTTTGGCTAATTGATTTGTGAAGGATATTAGTATTCAATTACCATTTTTCGTCTCCTAGTGTCAGACTTCACTGACTTTTTGACATGAGAGGGGGAAGTCTACACTCACGCAACCAGAAAAGCAAAGCGCAATTTAGCGTTCATGTGGAATATAGTCCAAGTGGGGACCCCAAATTTGGAGATAAAGATTACCAAGTGAAGGAAGGCAAAGCAGTTCAGCCAGAAACGACCAAGGCACCACTTAAAACAGCCTAGACTAGACTTGGCTTTATTTGGATAAATGCTATCGTTTCTCTAGTATCCTATTCTTGTGTTAATTCACACCTATTACTCTCTTCGTATTTCTATAAACTCCTCAGGAACTCGACCGTCCTCTCCATTGTCTTGTTCCAGAACATGGAAAAGATTTCTTTCTTGTTTTCTTTGCTGCTTCTAATTGTTTTTGGTTTTGTCAATGGCTCTCCACCAAAGGAGGCAGTAGGAGTATATGAGCTGAAGAATGGAGATATGTCTGTTAAATTCACCAACTGGGGTGCTACTATTATCTCAGTTGTTCTCCCTGACAAAAATGGTTAGTTTCTTTGTCTCTTTGGGATTCCATTTTCTTATCTGGGTGAATTTTTCTCTTCTATTCACTTGTCCCGATGGAAGATACTCTTCTCATGTTACGCATATTTTCTTGTATTTTTCCTGCTAATTTTAAGGGAAACTGGGTGATATTGCTCTCGGATATGGATCAGTCAAAGAGTATATGGTAAGTCTTTTCAATTTCTTCATTGCAGGCTTTTTTTGCATCTTCGTTTAGCTTTTTGTTTGCTGAATAGAAAACAGCAGTGTTTTCCCTTTTTATATCTTCTTTTTTCTTTCTTGAAGAGATTTATGTTGTTGTCTCTTTCTGTCTTCAACACACTAGAACCCAGTGGTCCTATCTTCAACCGCTAACAGTAATAATAGACAAAATGTTACAGCTGGATTTGCTGTAAAATATGCAACTTCATTATTTATTTCGAAAGAATCTGACCAAATTAAGGCCTGAGTATTGGATTTATCTGTTTTGATTCGTAAAATAATATCAATGACAGTGACATTAGGCCAGTTTTTTTATCTTTCATACTAGTACAATTTCTTAATCCATTGGCTTAATTATGCAATTGGTAGTAACGTTCTGTCACTTTTTCTATCCATTCTATCTGCATGACTTGATTCCATTTCAAACATCCGTCTTATACAAATTCTGCAGGGAGAAAGATCTGCAAAGTGCTACATCCCATTTTATTCTTGTTATTCAGCTTTTCTTATTCCTGTTTTACAGTGTAGCCTCCTGGCCTTTGTCACCAGTCTTCATAAAGCTTATTGTAAGACTAACAAATTCAGAAAGTTAAAATTATCAGCAGTTTCTTTTATAAATCAAGAAAGGGGCTCACCTGGTCTAACATTAAAAATCAATTGATAAGGATGATCATAAAACAATTGTTTAGTACCCTATAACACAATGATAATCTTGAAGATGAGAAAAATTAGATTACTTTCTTTCACTCTTTCTGGTGGTGGTTGATTTGTTAACAAATTTTGTCTACTATCTTGAGTTTTCATTCGGCAATAATTAAAACTACTTCATTCGATCAATACGTGATTATGTAGTTTTATACTGAGTTGTTTCAGCTGTTGTTTCCATTAATTAACCTCCTCTCTATTTACTCGAACTTAATAAAAACCTTTGCAGAATGATACCACATACTTTGGTGCCCTTGTTGGACGGGTTGCTAATCGTATTGGAGGTGCAAAATTTTCTTGGAATGGAACCCAGTATAAACTGGTAGCTAATGAAGGAAAAAACATGCTTCATGGTAAGTAATTCTTTATTGTTACCTTAATTTAATAAAAGAGTTCCTGAATTCCTACTTTCTGGTCTTATTTGTTGTGTGCTTTGCAATTCAATGAAAATTAGGTGGCCCCAAAGGATTTGGTGATGTTGTCTGGAAAGTGAAGAAATATAAGAAAGATGGTCCAGCTCTTTACATTCTCTTTGCCTATGACAGCTATGATGGTGAAGAAGGTTAGTGTATGACTTTTCCAATTCATATGTTCCTTAACCTTGCACTTTGAAATTTCATTGATGAAAGTAAGAAAGTGATAACTCTCTTGCAGAGGATTGATGGGCCTAATATTAGATTTCTTGTATCTTTCACAGGATTTCCTGGTGCACTTAAAGTCACTGTGGCCTACACCCTTCTTGCTAAGAACCAGTTGAGTGTGACAATGAAAGCCAAAGCTGTGAAAAAGTCTACTCCTGTGAATCTAGCCCAGCATACATATTGGAACCTTGGTAACCATGACAGTGGTGATATCCTGTCTGAAGAAATCCAGATTTTCGCCTCCCTCTACACACCTGTTGATAGCCAGCTTATTCCCACAGGCAAACTTGAGCCTGTAAAAGGAACTCCGTACGATTTCCTCAAACCTCAAACCATTGGAAGCAGAATCAAGGAACTCCCTAAAGGTTATGACATTAACTATGCCCTTGATGGTACTCCAGGAAAGATGAAGAAAGTAGCTGTGGTGAAGGATAAGAAGTCCGGAAGAGTAATGAAGCTGTTAGCTAATCAACCTGGTGTGCAGTTCTATACAGGAAACATGATAAAGAATGTGAAGGGAAAAGGAGGATTCATCTATAAAGCTCATGCAGCACTATGTTTGGAGACTCAAGGGTTCCCTGACTCTGTTAATCACCCCAACTTCCCTTCACAAATTGTTACTCCGAAAAAGCTTTACGAGCACAACATGCTTTTCAAGTTTTCAATTGCATCGTAGACATAAACTATTTCCCAAGGAAACTGATATTTTTCTGTTACTAACATTTCTAATGTTATTGTTGTGGCCTAATGAAACTTGAACAATAGCGTAATTCAGAGTTTGTTTATTATTAGCAGTGACATTCTGGCTTTGATCGGGGAAAATAAATAATAGTAATATTTATCAAAAGAATGATGATATAACTTCATATTACAAATAGCAAAACCTCCATAGCTATTGAAATAACTGATGAAAATAAACTATATGTGAAAGAAGTTGATTAATGTTTTTGAAAATCCAACTGGCAATGTGTCTAGTAATTAACATATAATTCAGAGACTAGACTTGTCTGTCTGAACTGAGAGAATGATGGGTTGGGAGATTACTTCCAATAAATTGTTAGTTACCATCAAACTAAGAAGCCCACTTGACCTTCAGCCAGAGAGAGTCAAAAACATAAAAACCCCACTCCAAGTTACCCAACCCAAAATCTTGCTGATGAAAGCCAGCCCGTCTACATTTAGATTCGGTCTGGACTCGTTCCCAATAAACAGGTCCAAGTTCAACCCCAAATCAAAAGCCAGTTAATCACTTCAAACCGACAAGGGTTAAAAGGCGATGGCTTCACTGTCCTCTGCTTCTGTCCCTCTTGTCAGAGTCCCAACTCAGCTCCCCTGCTTCAGGTTCTTTCATTTCCTTGATTATATGTTCAAAAGCAGTTATGCTCTTTCATAGAAGTATTCCAAATATAATTTCTTTAGCTTCATTGAGGTTTGTCCAAATCATTTTACTCTAATTCCGTGATTTACTCAATTGATTCTCCATCTTTGAACTGATTAATAATGCAGATAAAGTTGGCAATTTTTGCAGATTAAATCATGGAAAGGAGCAGTCTTTGAGCAGATATAGCAAAACTAAGGCAACCCATTTGAGTATTAATTCAAGTGTTAGAATGTGTTCTGTTGTTGCTTCTGATTCACCAGTATCCACCTCATTGTATGAGCAATCAAAGAGGGTGTGGATATGGACTGAAAATAGTCAAGTCATGACTGCTGCTGTGGAAAGAGGATGGAATACTTTCATTTTCTCTTCACAGAATCAAGGACTTGCCAATGAATGGTCATGTAATGCGATTCAAAGTCTTCATCCTTCTCCCTTTAGAATTTTTGCATTAAAAATTGAAATTGATTAATGTTCTTTGTTGTTACTTATATTAATCTATACTCAGTCACAGCAATTGTGACTTCAAAAAGCTTTCTTTATATTATGTGCAAAATTCAAAACATGCCATTATAATCATAATCCATGTACGTACCTTGGTAATGCCTTTTGTTTTTGGTAAATGGGTTTTTAATAGTGTTAGTTTAAATGAGAGAATGATTTATTTTGTGTCTATGCTTACCATGCAAACAATGAAGTAACTTGTGTGTGGTTTTTCTGAAGAGAAAATGCTTTGTATCATAGATGGTTGTATGCTTGTATCTAATTTTGGGGGTTTGGTTGTTGAAAATTACAGCAATTGCATTCATTGATCCTCTAATCATTAAAGAGGGAGGGATTTTTGATAGTGTGGGCAAAAGAATTGCTACAATTTTGGAGGTTTCAACTCCAGCAGATTTAAAGAAGTTTCAGCCAGAGGAGGAGCATGCAGGAAATGTTGTTATTGATTTACTGGACTGGCAGGTATGAGGTTGGAAACGTTTTGTAGATTCATGTCTTACAGATTTAGTTTCAGAGCATTACATTGAACTAGTCCATAAGTTATAGATATAATTCTGACAGAGTCGTTTGTATCATACCTGATAGAATAACTTGCACCCGAGCATTTGGCTCATTGGTTGGTGCATTGTCCCCCTGCCAAAAGAGCAGGGTTCAAATCCCCCCTCCCCCAATTATAAAAAAAAAAAATACTTGATAGAATAACTTGACCATAACATCTATAGAATGGAGCTATCATAGGAAAAGTTCTCAACAGACTTGCAATGGCTTACCAAACCATACAAGCACCAAGTGAATAAAAAGTTGCACAAAATTCATTGCTCCTCACCTAAGGATTTTCTGATACAGTTGTGATGGCTAAGTTATACTTAAGATGAATGTGATTGAGTGCTAAAATAAGTAGTTAGGAATGCAGTTTTTCACTTTCTAAGCTTTTTGTTAAAATAATTTGTTTGAACCCCACAAAAATCTACCCGTTTGAATCTATTAGGATATTTCTTGCTCCCTGCACTTAGCTAAAATTTTGTTATATTTCTTTTGTCAGATTAAGAACTCTGAAGATATAACCAAATTATCTCGTCAAATCTCAAATATATTGCATTACTTTTTAGCCATAATCTTGTTCATCTTTGTAGGTGATACCTGCAGAAAATATTGTGGCAGAGTTACAAGGCAGTCAAACGACTGTTTTTGCTGTCTCAAAATCATCTGCTGAAGCACAACTATTTCTTGAGGTAACTCACAAGTTATCTTTAATCAAGCACAGAGAATGCAAGTATGTCTTTGTCATACATTTGATTTTCTCATATGTAGTCAATTTGGCATTTCAATTGCATTTTCCATCCTGTAACCATCTTTATTTTGTAGGCCTTGGAGCATGGGCTGGGTGGGGTTGTTTTAAAAGCTGAGGATGTCAAAGCTGTTCTTGACTTGAAGGTAATCTGTGTTAGGTCAGGATTCTTGAATGATCAAAGTTGTTCCTTAACATGCTTTAAATTATCAGGAGTATTTTGACCGAAGGAATGAATTGCACAACAGACTGAGCTTATCTACAGCCACTGTAACTCAAGTTCATGCAGTTGGAATGGGTGATCGGGTTTGTGTGGATCTTTGTAGCCTAATGAGACCTGGTGAGGGACTTCTGGTATGCTAGTAGTCTCTCTTTATACTAAACTATCACTTGGGTTTAGTTGCTGAGATGATACATCATTTCGCCGCTCTTATAAGTGTAAGTACCATTCAACAGGTTGGATCATTTGCTAGGGGACTTTTTCTTGTTCACTCGGAATGTTTGGAATCAAATTACATTGCCAGTAGACCTTTCCGTGTCAATGCAGTAAGTTTTGTCTTTTTGCCTTTACACCTGAGTGTAACCGTGAAAGATATTATTTTAGCTTAAACTAGAAATTCTGAAAATGACACAGCAGAAAGGGATCAATCGATTATTGAGAGCTGTGTACTGCAGTCTTTTCGTATGCTTACTGCTCCATTTCCTACTTAGCAGTATTCTGGGATATGTTATGTACTTTCTGTTTCATACAATATTTGTCTTCATTGTCTTCTGACATATACAGAGGTCTTTTTGTGCCTCAATTATTGTAAAGTGTTCCTTCAGTAATGCAAATTCTTTTAACAAAGATCACATGGAATATGCAGGGGCCTGTCCATGCCTATGTTGCTGTCCCTGGAGGTAAAACCAGCTACCTTTCTGAGTTAAAAGCAGGCAAAGAAGTGATTGTGGTTGATCAAAAGGGAAAACTGCAGACTGCAATTGTTGGCCGTGTTAAGATTGAGACCAGACCACTTATCCTTGTGGAAGCAAAGGTTTGTATCCCGCTTACCAATGTCAAACACAATCCTGCACTCCACTAAACTTGTTTCAAAATTCATTTGACATTTAATATTGAGTTCAAATAGTTACACACTTCCATTTCGATAAAATCCAAATTTCTCACTTGGTTAATGTATGTTACATAATGCTGAACTCTTTTTTACTCTTAGGTTCTTTAAGGTTAGAATGCTTATGTTGAACTCATTATTCATTGTTCTAAACAATATTGGATGCTTTTGCCGCAGAGAGATGCAAATGATCAAACTGTATACAGCATCCTTCTACAGAATGCAGAAACAGTTGCTTTGGTCTGTCCACACAAAGGTATGTTTGGTAGTCATTTAGTTTTTGTAGGAAGTTTTGGTAGTACTTTTCTTATCAATTTAAACTTTGCTAACCTATCATTCACAGGTAACACAATGCAGAAGACTGTGATTCCTGTAACCTCACTAAAAGTAGGGGATGAAGTTTTGCTAAGGCTACAAGGTGCGGCACGACATACTGGAATAGAGATCCAAGAATTCATTGTTGAAAATTGAACAACCAACAATGTTATTGAAAGTTGTTCATTTCCGGGATTGTTTCCATCCATTTGAAGGCCTTTCATGTGCTTGCAGTGGACACAACTGTTCTGGCATTTGACTGCAGGGGAAATGCTTGTATCTGTAAAACTCAGGAATAACTAACCAATTTATTGTAAATTTTTACAAGCTCTTTATATATATATATATATATATATATATATGTTTTGAAGCAATATTTCTTCATGCCAAAGACCAATTTATTAGTGAATTTCGGTTGGCTTTGATACCAGATCGCTCGCAGAATCATTGGATTTAATAAATTTTGATTGCAAAGTGCAGTAGGAATATTGATTCCAATTTTAAAAGTAAAATTTAACAAGAAGAGAATTTAAAGAAAACTTAAAGAAAAAAAGTCCAGAATTTTCATTTCAGAAAAGTTTTTGCAAAGAAAAGTTTTTCGAAAAGTGATTCTAGCTTCTACTTTCTTATTATAATGGGAGCCTTTATAGATAGGTTTACCTTTTTGCCATTAATTACTCTTCGGAAAATTTTATAAGAATTGATTGAAATATTAAATTTTTTTTTTTTTTTGCTTAAGATGCTTTACAACTTCAGGAGTGCTTTTGAAAAATTTGAAGATGCCTTGCAAGTCCTAGGGATGCTTTTGTCTTCTTTGCTTTCAATGTTGATTTTGCTTTGCAAAGATACCTTACATATCTTAAGGATGCTTTTGCTTGGTAGAGATGCTTTTGCTTTGTAGAGATGTCATGAAAAATGCTTTTGTCTTTTACACATTTTTAGAGATGCTTCTTTTTTTTATTAACTTTTTGCTCCTTCTTGGTGGCATGTAGTTTTTGTCTTAGTTTAAGTCAAAAGTTTTGTTGGATGACCCAGAAGTCTAATGCTTTTGTTCATCATTTTCATCAAAGTTGATGGACTAAAGCATATCTGTCATGATTTTCTTGTATTTTTGTTTATTCTTTGCCTAGGTAAATAGTGCACTTACATTTGATTTTCTTATAAAAATCTTGCAACTTCTTGATCCGAGGCAACTGTCTTGCATAATGTTGGGCTTTTGTTGAACCAATTATCAAGATATTGTGCATGATCTTTTCTATCATCAAACTTGTCCCACTACTTAGTCTTGAAGATTCAAATTATTGTGAGGGCACCATTTTGGGGATCAATATTATCCAAGAAATGGTTAATTTTGAGAACAAGTCAATAGAGATATGTAATTTGTCCTGATCTTGTTCAAGCTAAAATTTTTGGTATTGTTCATTAATTTTTGGAGAAACCATCTCTCGCAATGGCCCAAACTAATTCCACCAGTGAGAAAATCATAACGAAAATTTATATTGGTTTCCATATTTGAAAAATACTAGTTAGAAATGTCTGATATGTTTATTATTAAAAAGAAAAGTATTGAACCAAGCTTGTTGGTAATCCCAATAAGTGAAGAACATATGGTGGTTTGTTCTCATTGTAAATTTGGTAGGAAATTTTTTGAGTAAGTTTGGGTTTTCTTCCTAGTCCATGGGTCTTAGTACTTTCAAAATTTGAGCAATTGAGTGAGTAATGAATTCAGGGTCATCTTTCTCTACATTAATCTTTACATAATACAGATCATATTGGAATCAAAATATTTTCATAATACTATTAGTGTTTCTGTAGATCCAACGATTTGTAATGCCATCCTTGAAAAGTTTTTTGGATTGCAACATTAAGGGATTTTTCATAAAATCCTTCTTCAATTAGTAAAACTTTTAGAGGACTTTTTGCAAAAGTATTAAGTATAAATCTTATGAGAAGAGGACATTGTTTTTGATGTTGAGAAAATAGTTTAGAGAGGTTTGAGTTTGTGCAAAACAACCTTTTTGCCTTTTGAGGATTCTACTTAGTAACAACAATTTGTTTAAGAGGAGTGTTTTCTTTGATTTGGAAGGTTAGTGCCAGAGTTACTTCTGAGGATTAAGAAAGAGACTCAATTTATTTCTTGGTTTATCAGTCAAGTTCATTTTAATCTTGGTCTTCTTGGTAAATTTTGGGTGTTTTTGAGGAGCTTTCTCCCTTTTGTTCATTTTCTTGAGTACAAATTTCATGCCATGATTTAATTGGTCTTTTGAAAAAATTTTGGAAAAAGAACTCTCCTTTATCTTTCTCTTTTTTCTTTTGATCTCCCAATTTTGGTGGCATGGTTTTCCCTATAAAATTCTCTAATAAGAAAATTGGGTACGTAATTCGATTCTCCTTTGATATATCCAATGTTAAAGTTAAATATACTCAAAATTGCTTGCCATCTGTCAAAAATTTACTTAAAACGATATTTTAGACATCTTTTTGTAAAACCTCTTTTGCAGATTTACAATCAATTCATAAAAGGAATTTTTGATTGACTAAATCACTTTAAAATTTTGAAATACATGAAACAATTGATAAAATTTCCTTTTTGATAGTATTGTGATTTTGCTAAATAACCGTCTAATGTTTTAAGGTGAATTAAACTACTTGTTCCTTCTAATTTTTGACTTGTTTAAGAATACCCTCATATCCTATGTCTGAGACATTTGTTTCTACTATTTTTAGGATACTTGGGTTTGCTAGATGTAAACAAAGGAGTTCTTTAATATGCAATTTAATTTGTTTGACAAGATCAGTATGTGCAAGAGTCTAAAGAGCAAGATTTTTTTTAAGCCTATCATGCGAGGGTTTATAGATTTTGCTAAGGCCAGAATAAAAATTAATAACATAATTGAGATTTATTAAGAATCTTTGGAGTTGGGTTTTATTGAAAACTTGATCAGGAAATTTTTTTCTCAAAGTTTATGGATCTTTCTGTCAGTGTAGTAGTTCCTTGGGTTACATAATGACCTAACAATCTTACTTTGGTTTGAAACAGTCTAATTTTGGATTTGGAGACTACTAATCCATTTTTCTTAATTATGCTAATAAAAGTTTTGAGATGTTTAAAGTATTTTTCTAACTTTTAAAAAAACACTAGGACACTATCTATGTAAACAATGGTAAATTGAGAGTACATACCAAATAATTCATTCATTATCCTTTAGAATTCTAATGGTGCATTTTTCAGACCAAAAGGCATGACATTTCATTCATATTGGTCAAAAGGGACAATAAATGTCGTTTTATACCTCTCATTTTCTTTAATTTGGATTTGCCAAAACCCTGATTTCATGTCAAACTTTGAGAAAATATTTGCACTACATAATTTCTGTAATAAGTCTTTTTTGTTTGGGATTGGACATCTAATCCATTTTAATGATTTTTTTAATAGTTTGTAATTTATTACTAATCTTGTTGTTCCTTTTTCTAGTTTTGCATTTTTTATAAGATAGGAAGCAGAACAACTCTAGGGTGAACTATTTTTCCTTATGAGTTTTTTTTACTAGAAGATCTTGTATTTCTTTTCTACAAAATTCTTCCATTTCTTTGTTCATTTGGATTGGTCCTGCTTTAGTAGGAATTTTCTTTTCATCAAAATCTTTTTCATAAGGCAAGTCTACTTCATTTTTTTTCTATCCCAAAAGGCATTGTGAATATAAGAACAAATTCTTTTTGCAATTTCTTTTTTGATTTGTTCGATTTTTTGTTGAACAAAATTTTCACCTAATTGTTCATTTATCCTTTTAAAAGAGATTTCTTCTTTTAAGTAAGTAATTTGTTTCTGTTTGTAATTTATTTGAAAATTGAGTTGACTTGTATGAATTGATAAAGATTTTAGTAAATTGAGATTTCTTATTTTTGGTCTTTCTATGAAGGGAAAAATTATTTTGGTTTTTAATATTTTAGTAGTAATTATTTGATTTGTAACCTTATATGGTTTAAGCAAGGATATTAATGGTGTGCGTAGTATGACGTCTTGTGTTATATTTTTTACCATTAAAAAAGGAGTTTCAAATTTGATTCCATTGTTGCAAATTTCTGGATTAGGAATTTTATATGTAATCGTAAGTTTACCATCATTGGTAGTTTTAAGGCCTTCTGATGTTTTGTCATAATACTTTTTTTAAATCATTTATTCTCTGATGCAATTTTGATTTGCACAAGTATCAAAAAAGTGCTATTGTTTCTAGATGAAATTCTTCTTTGATTAAAAGATGTTTTTTAAGTAAGTGTCTTTGTATTGATACTTTTGTAAGAAACATCATATATTGTTGTGATTCTTCTAGTTCTACCTTTGTATCTGAGGAAGAATTTTCTATTGGAATTCTTGAATTTTGTAAGAATTCTATTTGGTTTTTTATTTCTTTTTATTCACTCTTGAGTTGGGAAATTTCTATTTTCATTTCCTTAATTTCTGATTGTAATTCTACATTTGTTATTTGCTTAGATTTAAAGGATTTATATCTGTCAAATATAATATCTTTTACATTATACATGTGTTCTTGATTTGTAATTGTGGGTTTTCTATTTTTTTCTTTCATTGAAGTTTTTAATTTCTCAAGATATTCTCTTTTTAGTGTCCAATCTTGAATTTCACTAATGATTTCAATAATGACTTCTTGGTCTTTGGTTAGAACATTAACTTGTTTTTCATTATCTATTGAAGATGGAAATGTAGTTTGTATTTCATCTATTTGGAACTCACTCGAAGATTTTGTGTTTTCAGACATCTCATAGTTTAATGTTATTGATTCTAGTTCAATTTCTTCATCTAGGTGAAGTTCAATGATTTTCTTATAATTTTGCAGAATTTTGAAATGTGACCAGCGTTTTCGCATCTAAAACATTTTATTGTTTTGTCTATTTTACTTTCTTCTTTTCGTTTTTGTTTTTCTTGTCTATACCTCCTGTATTTTGGTTTGTTGTAGTAATTTGGGGTAGTATACTTATGTTTCTTTCATTTTGGTTTTGCAAGACAACAAGTTTTTGAAAAAGAAGGCTCATGTTTGATGTCAAATTGTTGACAAGAACGATCCTAATTCTTTCCAGGAAAGATATCTTATTTTTTTTAATTGTTTTTGAAGTTTTAAATCTTGGCAAATGTTTAATCCTTCTTTTCAATTGAGGCTTATGAGTTCGCGATATGTAAAATTTTCATAAGAAATTATTCCTTTATAAGTGTCTCTTATTTGGTTTCTAATTTTTTTCTCCTAATAATTTAGGAAGTCCAACTAGAAATTTTTCTTTCCAACTAGAAATTATAGGATCTTTGCATTACTCTAGCCATAAATATGTCTTTGTACCATTTAAAATCTATTAATTTTTTACATTTTAAATTTGACAATAATT